GTACGAGTATGAACACCGCGATGGAGTCACCACCAGGTAAGATCGTGTGGGAGAGGAGAATGGTCGACACCTTGGTGTAGGGCTTCGAGGTAGGAATACCCAACGCCAAGAACAACAATTGTTGTTATTTATTGGTCAATAAGGAACAATTACGTATGGCATTTGTATGCGTACACCTTTTATAGAGTACAACGTGTCTGTGACCGCGGGAATCGACTGGTCAAGTGTTTGATCAGTACAGACAGATGAAGGTACTGGATAGATATCGGAACGGTTTTAAACATGAAGACAGCAACAACAACAACAACAACCACACGACAATATCAAAGGAAAAGGGGGTATATAGATCTACAGCTATGCAAACCTTGAGTTGAAGGACCTTCACCGTACCCTAGCCCAAGACGTTCCGACAGCATGTACAGGAGTCCCATGCTACCTTCATCCTGCGTGACCCAGGCAGACACGCCAAGTTAAGATGTAGTAGGCAGACTGCTCTATCGTCCCGTTCAGAATGGCGCCAGATTACATGGGACGAAAAATACACACAACATTCAACTACAATGGTCAGACGGTTGGGTATTTATCCCAAAAAAGTCGGGCCGTGGCCAAGCCAGTTCTATAGGGCGTATAGTAGAATTTTGAACAGGGCTGCTAAACACTGACTTGCCCACCTTCCGGCGCACATGTCCAACTCTGTCCATTTTTTCCGAACGAGCTTGAGAAAGATGACACCACGCCTCTGGACAGGTCAGAACTTCGTATTGCGCTGCAACACCTGGCCGCCCTCAACATGATCATGGTATAAGGCTGACCGGGTTCACCAACCACAGTATAACCATTTCGCAAACAAGTGGCTCGGAATTGAAGTTTTGGCTCTTCTTCTCGCTGCAATTCTGGCTCACTGACAACACCATCAAGTTTATCAGGCGACAAAGTCCACCTACCTCCTTGTTCAGTGAGTATTGTCCTTTTGAGTCACCCCCAACCTTCCATACCCTTGCTGTAGTTCAAGCTCACGTAAAGCAGGATGTCACGGAGGCTAACAACCTTCTTCTCAACGCGGTGGTCAACGTCGAAAAGAGGGACGAGGTGAGCGACATCATCAATGCCGAAGCCATCGCACAAAAGCACGTTTTTTTCCCTTTCCTAGACTACAATTGGTTCTGAACAGCGTAAACACGGGGATCCCTTCTGTGCAAGGCTGTGCTGCTAGTAGCCTAGAGAATCTTGTGAGTGGTTGCTTCTTCTCATGGAATTGCAAACACTTCGCATAGAACGACAACAATTAAGCAACCGTGCACGTATCACTCTTGGTTCTTCGTCTGCCAAGCAAGGCGGCCAGAAAATGCAGGAAATTCACACCCTTCCTAAATCACTCAATACTTGAGCCCGACCTCTCGGATTCTTCTTCACAAGGATAAAGAGGCCTGTGATAGAATCATCGTCTGTACATCATGAGATTGCCGTGTGCCCAGGGCTGCTTCCTCGATTGATTTTTTTAGGCTGGCAACAAGAAGCGGTTTGAAACGATAGTGACAGTACAGCAGTATTCGTTATGAAGAATATTAGCGAAATGGCTTGCACGCAATACTCTCCGGTGTAAGTGCAGCTTTTATTTGCTCAGTGGTATATATTTGTGATCGCCCACGGCTACATGCTGTTTGACGTCCCTGTCGCTGCCGTTGATATCAACTGACCCTTTTTTCAGGTCCGGGGTACACCTGAGATAACGTCGAATCTTATCGTTGACATTCAGAGTGACGAGACCACATCAGGGTGGGCGAACCTCACCGCGTGCATCAGCGAGGTAAGTGAGAGGTTTACTCTTCGGAAATCGAAACAGCGGACGCGTTGTTGTGGCAGAAATGCTTGTATCGCGCAATCCTTCTGATTGACTAGAATAGAGTCCAAAGAGATGCTTGCAAGGCCCCTGCGTCCGTGTCCTCCTGTCATGATGGCCAATGTCAGCTACTGCCACTTGTTCTATATTTTACTTGTCTCCTGTCAACCGTAGCACCTTGCTACCGATGCACCCTGCTACCCGTGGTGTTGCAGTTACCAGAATTCGAATCGGCTGAAACTGTGGAGGGATTTCGGTGAAAGACCAAGGGCACCACAGGGACGGTGAGGAAAGCCATCACCTGTATACAATCTGTTCATTCCAAAACGTAGCTCAATTCACCAAACACAGGCAAGGTACACGCTTCTTGAACCCCCGCCCCCTCCTTGGCCACCGCCACCTTTCGCTCGTTTAAAGAACAAACCAAGAACGCCCCTCTCTTATAAGTCAACCTGAGGCTCTCCTTCAGAAGGCGGCTGACTGATTGGACCAATTGGTTGCCGCTGAGCCTCTTACGTATCTGTTTCGTCTCTGTCGTGCTCACGTGCAACCTTCCTTGAATCTATCCATGTTTGTCTGCCAGGCGGTGAAGAGGGTCCGCCTGAAGACCCCCCCCCCCGCACGGCGGTCATCAACCTGAAACGCCACGCCTTCAACCCGGAGCTTGGGCGCGAACATGTGTTGGTGTGTGCACTGCACGTTGCTTCTGTAACGAAGCAATTGACGAACAACCCACACCACATGCAAAACGTTGGGGTACTATGCTTTTAAAGTAACGCGCTTTTTGTGTTTTCCGTCTTCAAACCACCCCCGGCCCTGAGGAGTCTTGACCGATTCCACGAAAACTCCTACACCAGGCCCTACCAGGAGAAGCTTGAGGGGGTGGTTCCCTTCCCGGTCCACGAGGTGGTGTACGTGCCCCGCCCCGCCCACGTGCCACGCTTGGCAGTTGCAACCCAGTGCCACACGGGGAGCTCCTCGACAACCGGTCACTGCCGGGCACTGGTGCGGACCTCCGCGACGAAGGGGTCCGAGTGGAACGTGTTTAACGATACCTCCGAGGCAACGGTGAACAGCACGGACGTTGGCAAAGAGGAGGCCTACGTGCTGGCGTACCGTAGGTTCGAGCGCCGCGACGTGCCTGCGTTCAACGGACTTGTGTGGGCGTACCCCGCGTACGGAACCGGTGTCGTCACCGGCGCGGAGGACGCGCTAAAACGTCGCAGTCGTCCCCGTTCGACTCTCCGACGGTCGCGTTTATTTGGTGACCGCGATTGAGGTGGTGCCACATCGTGCCCGCAGTAGAAGCGGTTTACCGCGAATTCCCGTAGAAATCGGAGGGAAGTTCAATATTTGTCTGTTTCGATGTATGTCCGCATTTTACCGGCGGTCTCTTCTCCCTGGAGCTCGAGAGTAACATTGGTGGATTATGGAGGATATAAAAGTATGTAATCTGAAATTTGAATATTCGACACCTTTGCAGGTAGTTGGCGATGAATATGAAGGTATCTTGTCGGATTTGAAGGATGCACGAATATTTTTTGGGGTTGGGGATTTGTTCCTTGTTGCCATCTTGCCTGGCGATTCGTGAGGAAGGTTTTGTGGGGGTGCTGTTAAGTGATCTACGGGGCCTGCGGGGGCTCCATGGATGTTTTTCGTGGGAGTGATTGACACGAGGCGCGAGGCTTTTTTCGTCTCGACTATGTCTCTGTGTCGTTGGACAGAGTAACGATTGAGAGGCATAGACGAGGCAAGAAAAACCTCACGCACCATGCCCACTACACCCACGAAGCATCCACGTACAGCCCCGACCCCGTATTTCAGTGGTATTGTGCCGATAACCTGAAAACAGGGTAGATTATGTTGTATACTATGCATATGAGCGTGATAACGGTCAGCATGCGGCCAAGCTGCTGGGCGAAGCCGGCGGAAAATGGCAAAAGAATCAAAAAGCTGGTGCTATGTGCATTATGTGCACTTCATGTTCTGACACAACGCGTGCAGGAGATTCAATCGCACGCGTTCCCGGGCACCTGTGTTATGGGAGTTGCGTCAATGGCGTACAACGAGTATGCAATCGACGGTCCACAGGCCGCCCATGAAATACTGTACCATGGAACCGTCACGGACCGTCACGGGGACCATCGGGTACGATACACAGTCAACGTGGATCACCCTGTCAAGGCAATCTCAGCATCCCAGCCTTTGTGCCCTGTGCCTACGGCCTTCCTTCCTTTGACATTTTGTTGGCATCGAGCAAGAAAGAGGGTCCCCGTGTGAAAGGGTATGGAAAACTCACGGCGCGCACATGCTTGCTACGCAACATCCGATATTATTGGATGAGGGTTCGCCCAAGAAGACTACATGTTCCTGGACAGACTACATGTTCCTGGACAAACTGTCCGCGTTCAGATCGTAGTTCCACCCCCATGTCTTCGCAAATGAAGGATGGATGTGGCTCTTATCTCCCATTGTTTTCGGCGCGCTGTGGCAAAACAACCGAAACAACGTATCTACAAGGGCGTGGACAAAACGGCCGTTACACCCTGATGACCTGTTCACGGTGATATTTCCGCCATGAGAACCAGCTTTATTCTTCCGTCTGGGTTCGTTCGACTATGTTGTGTGCTCGCTCGTTGCGACTGTGCTACATGGCACGGGCAATCAGCCACTCTTTATACGCTCACAGTCTTGGATGCTTCGGACGATTAATAGAGAAAGGAAGATATCTGGATGAATGTCGACAGGGCCACCAACACCAAACCGACCGGGCCAAGGAGCCGCACCTTGCCTCGATCGGCCGGGAAAATGTGGCAGCGGCAAACGGCACGACCGTGGAGAAAACTGCGACTTTCTGGAACGAATCGAAGTTGTGGTCTTCGACGGTGGCAGTGGGTTGGGCCTCCCGGCACCCCCAGCAACACGCAACACGAGGTAAAATGACCGGCGGAACCTCGAAATGATAGTAAGCAACAGGTCTGATATATAGGAGAAAGGTTTTGTTCCCCCTGGCAGTCATCACAGCGCACAAGACGGTGCCGACAGCACCGATAAGTTATTCTCTTTCTGCCACCGGTGCTAACATTTTTGCCACCAAATCACTACTCGTGCTAGCGTTTTGGTCTTCCACAGCATTTGGCATCAGCCAATGAGCAGGAAAAACACACGCGAGGGCGACAACAGCGGGGTACGAAGTATACTGGTGTCACACGGACAGTGCCCCCGGCACCTGGGAGGGCAAGAGTCATAAGCCCGGGGTTTTTTTTCTTCATCTATGCCTGGAAAGAAGCAAAAAAATTAAAAAAATAAAAACACACAACAAGCGTATCAAAGAGAAGGACTCCAACCCTCCCAACACCAGCACTCGGTTTCTGACAAGAATCATATACTTTCACATATTTAGCCCGTGTCCACTCTCGCAAAGGGTAGAAACGAAATAATCCCGCTAGCAGATCGATACCAACACCATCAATCCCCCTAGTGCTGGTTGTCAAAGCCGATCCATCGCTCCATAGCCAAGAGGTTGTCAAGAGCCAACGAGGCGTGCTAGGAAAACTCTCAAGAACGAAACCCCTCGCAAATTCCAGGGCCCTCCCTCCTCGTCACTGGCACTAGTAATCTCTTATGGGGCAATCGATCATCGAACCTCGACCAACGAAGGAGTTATGATACGCATCCGCCCACATATACGGTAGACTCTCGCTGCAGGAAAGTCTTCACCCCCGTGCCAAACAAGCATTTGACACAACGGCATTTCAGAGGGTTTTCTTGTCGAACGAAATGCTCCACGAAAGAAGAGAGAGTTTCTCGTCACAAATTCGCTCCACAGATGGAGAAAACGAAAGCCCACGGTCAACGCGAAACAGAAAACACTTAGCATCCTCCGAACACTACTGAGTGTCCTAAAAACAAGTTCCTCCCAGTCCTGCGACCTCGCTCGCCACAGCAAATACCCCTTCTGTCTTTGCAGCTGAATGTCCCAGGTGCAGCAAACACTCCGCCAGAGCGCTTTGGTACATGCTATACATGCCTGTGCGCGAGGAAGATAAAGAACACGCAAACACGAAAACGCGCACACGCCACCGCACACAAGTGCACACAAAGACAGGGCGTGGCAAACACGGCTCGATCTGTTCCGATTATTCTACCTCTCGTGTCTGTCGACTGCCCCCTACATCATAACCGAATAGTAGACCTTCGCATGAAAAAAAGCCTCTCGGCTGACCCCTGACACATCGCGACAGATTAATTAGTTGCAACCTGAATTATCACAATGGCATCGTCGAGCACACGCAGATGCATACCCCATCCCTTACAATTATCCTTTTCAGCAGCTGGGTGCATGATTCCCCAGAAAGTCTTCCATGTGGCAACAGGCCCCGCGCTTGATCGACGAACTCCTCCATGATCTCTCGCGGACCTCAACCATGCTCACAACCATGCAACGTGCTNNGGGGGGGGGGGGGGGGGGGGGGGGGGGGGGGGGGGGGGGGGGGGGGGGGGGGGGGGGGGGGGGGGGGCGGGGAATATGACACCGAGAAAGACAATACGGGGCAATTTGACCATTCGTGGGGCAGAGATTTTGGTTCAATGATCATTTCGACGTTCAAATGCTCGCAGGATAGAATGATGGTTGAATATGGGGCATGGATCTACGGAGATTATTGTTGGTAGATTGCCGGGGAACAGGGAGGTTCTTCTTGGATTCTTCGAAGATTCGATGAGTGATGGGAATTGTTTGACGGATGGATGTGGTTATGCACTCCTATCTGGTGGTGGGACTCCGGTTTCCACTCCCCGCTAATACAAGACTTTCTCATTTCGGCCTGCTGGCCGAGCTGCCGTTCTCCACAAAACTACAAGCCTTGACCTACCCGGATTACTCAACGTAGACAATCACAACTCCTATTCTGTGTGGTGCAACTTGTTACAGGACGTGATGAAAAATTACAACACGATCAACAGTTTTCTGCCCACTAGACACCACTCACAGCGCTCGCAAGGCACACCTGTCCAACACCATCTCCTGTAGCTTCACCCTCCCCTCGGCTCGCTTATTCCTCCCGCCTCGCCCCGCCGCCTTCCCTGTCGTGTGCGGTTTAATTTGGATCTCCTGCTGCTACTGTTGTTGCTGCTGCTGCTACTTTTCCCCTTCCCCAGAGTCGCCAAACCACCCGCACCCGCCAAAACCGCTTCGCCGGGGCCCTCCCTCCACTGCACATCATGTCGTCTGAAGCCCGTCGCATCGACGTGAAGGTTCTTCCGCTGATCCGGCACCTCCGAGCGCGTGGCAATTTTCCTTGAAGACGGTAGGGGCGGCGCCGGCGGCCACTTGTTTTCCTCGACGGAGACGGACTTGAAGCCTGTTGAGTGCGGAGAGAGGGCTTCTTTCGGGAGGCCGGCGCCGTCGAACATCGATTTCGCAACGCCAATACTAAGGGAACCGTCGTAGTGCGGTGGCGGGGACACGACTGGCGAGGGCGGCCGTACTTCGGCATAATCTGGTGGTGGGGGATAATACGGTGGTGGGGCATACTTCGGTGGTGGGGGGGCATTAACCGGTGGTGGGAACACATTTGGCGAGGGCGGCCGTACTTTGGCAGGCGCCGTCTCCGTCCTTCGCCTATTGCTGGAGTCGCTAACGCCGCGTGTCACGGTATCAGAATCGAAGCCCTTTGTTTGCTGCGGAGCGATCATGTTGTCAGAGATCACTTTTGTTTGCTTGGCTGGAGTCGGACATGACGCCGACGGTGCCGATGGCGTACCCCTATGCCGGTTGGACCTCTGAGCAGGCGTCCCCTTTGGTTTAACCCTATCCGATGCATTAGACCGAGAGCGTCTTACCCGGAATACAACATGTTTATTTTCGCCGCCGCCCGTCGCCTTGCGCCCCGTCTCCGTCGATGAAGAAAGAGCCCCGAGCTTAGGTGGACTTGGTATTGAAGCGAGGTCGCTGCGGTTCGATGGACTAGGTATTGGAGTGCGTTCACAGATCCTCCGCGATGCAGCCGTCGCAGGAAAGAATACACCCTCGCGCGAAGACGGTGCACTCGAACAAGAAGTAGGCGCTGGATAACTCGGAGGAATGGCCAGGCGAGATTTACTGTTCGTTGCGGCTACGACGCGCGCTCCTTCCGCCACCTTGATGGAGCTGAAGCCTTTCGCGCGGAAAACCTTTTCGTTGAACACCTTCGGTCCTACGGCGCCCTCAGCGGCAGTGGCTACTGCTGTTGTTGATGGCGACACGGCGGGCGCTGGGCTCTTCATGATGCCCTGACACTCGAGTTGGCCGCCGCTGCTGCTACTGCTGACGCTGCTGCTGCTGCTGCTGCTGCTGCTGCTGCTGACGCTGCTGCTGCTGCTGCTGCTGACGCTGATGCTGATGCTGCTGTTGCTGATGCTGCTGCGGTTGCTGTTGCCCGGCATTTTGTTGCGGAGGCGATGGCTCATCTTGTTATATTGCCACCGTCTTGCCACCTCTTGCACTGGAAACTGAGCCCCGCGATCGTCCCGGCTGGGGGGACTGGACAGCAGGGGCAACGCTTTGCGGGAGTGCAACTTGAGCTTTCAAACTCTCCCCACGAAATTCGTAGAAGAAGCGTACAAAGATGGAGAGATGCACGGTCGGCAGTCGGAAGCGGTTGGACGAAAACCGCGGACCATGCAAACCAACTAACTGCGGTGAACTCGTTGCATCACTTGCAATGTGCTGTTGTTGTCGCTTGTGTTCTTCTGCATGAAGGGATTTTGCCTAGACGATCGCGTCTTGGAACAGGGAGTCCTTGCGTACTCCCCACCTGCTCTTGCCGTAACCACCTGCTCCCAACTGTTGCTCAAACTGCTCCTGTTCCCAATCGCCAATCGTCTCGCTTTCCATTCTTCTCGCCGCCCCCATGGCGGGACTGTCGGCGGGACTGTACGAAAAACAATCTACACACAGCAGTTGATTGCCACGCGTGCGTGAGGTGTGACGCGTGAGGTGTGAGGCGAGAGGAGAGAGGAGAAAGAACCAAGTGGGAGAGTACAGCAGTCAAGAACCCTGCTGTTCATCATCAAGAGCCGGCGTCGGTACCCATGCATCATACGACGACAATTGTTGGTGGAAGAAGAGGTGAGTGTTCGAAGAAATATATTTCTGCAGTTCGTCCGTGGTTGGTCGCCAGTTCTTGTTCTACTTTGCGATCAGCTGCTTGTGACGACGTGACGACACACACGCCCGCGCAGTATGTGCCTATGCGTACTCCTGCATTCTCAAATACTCGGGTTCCACTCCCTTCACAACGAGTAGCGAAGACGAGAGAGATGAGCCCCTACAGGTAAGGGTGGTTGGGTAGCTTGCGTAAAACGTGTCCTTCCGATCGCGTTCGATAGGACCTCTGAGGAACCAGGTGGTGCTTGGTGTGCCAAATGAACGGCTTGCGCGGAAGCCGCGAGAGAGCAGTGACGAAACCCGTGCGCCAAAGCCCCACGAAAGATTATGGTTGAATGACGATTGTTGAAGGTTCAGAGAGGAAGTTGAATACTGCTTGTAGTTGGATGGTACACACATGTGGGGTTGCAAAGCCTGTTTCTTTGTACAACAACAGCAGCAGCAGTGCGAAAGATAAGAGTTACTGACGTGAGTGCTCAGCGCGGTGCCGACACCGCGCATGCAACACCGAAACATAGGTTCGGATTTTTTTAGGATAATAATAGTAAGAACCCGCGCGAGATCAAACCTCGTTCGTCTGTAGCACAACTCCGAATCCTGCGTCTGCGTTATATCGTTGCTTAGCAATGACGTGTGTTCAATCGTGGAGGCTTGCTAGCGGTACTGTAGTTCTGATGAAAAGTGGGTAGAGGGCGGTGGTTCCTACGAGCGGACTATTAGTCGACGGAAGAGAGAGGGGCCGTCTACGTCGGAAAAAAATATATGCACCCACGGTTATCCACATAAACCATGCACCCATAACTTAGCGGTCCCGCCTGTACACTCCACGAGGGCATGAGGGCGCGGGTTCGAACGGACGACGGGCAGTACTCGGAATGGTTTGACGTCGGCCAAGGTCTCCGACAGGGGTGCAACCTGGCCCCGCTGCTGTTCAACTTGTTCTCTGCCGCGATGCGCATGGTCGCAGTGACCGAGTTCGACAAGGACCCCAAGGTGACGGCGGATATGATCAAGATCGCAACACGAGTGGAGTGCACGGGCAAGAGGGGCAGGTCGGCGGG